CTCTGTTACGCTTATTTTGTATTCTTTTGTGGTCGAATAAAATTATTAATACTTTTTTTAGCTTTTTCCACTAATAGAAAATTCACAGTAATGCTTGCTTACTTGTGTCAGATTTAGAAGAAGCTTGTTAAGTACAGAACATTTTCTTGATTGCTGGCACAGCTTAATGTAGCACCTCATGCAGTGTGATAAAAGTCAGTCTGGCTAATTAGCACCATTTAGAGACAGTGCTGGAAGACACTGCTTTTGTAGCCCTAGCTGTGTATGGCCCTTCACTTGAGTATATTTGCATAACACTGAGTCACATATACAAGCCATAGGAACAAGCTTTAGCACAAGAATAGTATTTATTAGCATTTGTTTTTCCATATGATGGTATGATACTGTAAGAGAAATATGTTGGAACTCTGTTCAATTATAAAAGAACGCATCTGAAAAACAATACTTGCTAACGCTTTACTTCCATCCATTAGATAATATTTCTCAAAGTGTAGAGCTCCTATTTAGCTGGGGAATAAAACCATGTTTTCCTGACCTGCTACTAACTACATTTGACTCACACTTAATTACTTATTCTGAAATATCTGCACATAAAACTTACATATAACTGTTTGCACATGGAAGTCCATATGTAATTTTTTGTTTTCAAATATTGAGATGTCACACTGACACATGATTAATGTACTCCTGAAAACTCCTCAGGACAAATAAGGACAAATAAAAGAATGTGTGCATGGCTAAGAGGAAAGGAGTCATGGATGAGGAGTCCTGGAAAAAAAAAAAATATATATATATATATATATATTTGTAAACTTGTCTGGGATACATAAAGGGATTCAATAAGGGGTTAGTTTTCTATAGCATCAGTTACAGAAAAGTGTACTTGTTCTTTTCATAATGGTAGGATCTATGGTACAAATATCCAAGTTTTGTTCTAAGAATGGGATCAAGGTGACTGATTTGTCACCCTGTAGATAGATGCTGAATTTCCATGGCTCATGTATCTGTAAGAGGAGCTCTCTGATTTCTACAGCACAGCTGACAGCCTGCTCAGTTATCTTATCTCAGTTGTTTCTGGAATTGCAAAAACTTGGGAAAATGAGCAGTTAGTTCTTATCTCCCAATGACTTTTCTGCTCCTCTAAAAGCACTCATAAGCAAAGTAGGTAATTCCTATCAAACAAGATCAGCCTTCATTAAAGCATTCAGGGTCCACTTACAAGGCCTTCTTTGCTGACCTTGTTTCCAGTGAACAAAAATTCAGGTTTTCTATTGACATGCTGATATGCCAGGTCTCACATCTCCTTAACAGAAGTTACTGATCTGTTAATGGACAAAGGAGTAAATGGACAAAATTAATAGACCAAAAAGGAGTAAATGCTCTTGAAGGTTTGGACAAATGAGACACTGATAAATTTGCATTTCCTGGAAAGTGGATCTTTAATGAACATGTATAATGTTATTTTAATATATAACCTTTGTAATTATTTTCATAACCTGATCAGATCAATAGAACTGAAAAAGGGTGTTGTTTTAAAATACAGCTTTGCAGAATCTTTAAAGACATGGTAAGAGACTAACATGGTAGAGAAAATTGTTATAATTGAGAAATAAAAGTCTGTGTAGCTGTATATATTTCTGGAAAAAAAATCCTTCTGCAAATTAATATATCATGGAATTGTCAGTCTTGAAACAGCACCTGGAAGTTTAATTCCTACATAAATTACTATCCAGCTTTTGTTATCTGTTGCTACTTAGAAGGCTCAAAGTTGCCCATCACCGTTTTTTCTGATTCCTAGACTTTTCTTCTTGATTTCTTTTCTGAATGTAAAGAAAAAGTAAGTCTTCCTATGTGTGACTTTCCTTCAAAGCTTGGTCCATGGTTTCTAGGTACAGAATATCAATGGAACTTAAAAATGATGTGTGCCTAAAATACCATCTGTGGAGGATGCTGCATTCATTCACTTAATAGCTCTGATCAGCATTGGCTCATATATTTTGAGACAAAATATTACTTTAATTGTCTGATCTCTCTCCTCCAATAAAGACAGCTAGTCATGGAAGTAACCTTCAGCAAGAGAGCACACTCCCATTCTTATGCAAATGTAAAGGCAATAATGTGAAGATGCAAAAAAATCCGTAAATATTCTACAACATCAAAACGAGTAGCTACAACTGCTCATGGTTCCAGATGTACTTATCCTGGTCCTGTCCACCACTGATTCTCCTTGTAGCACAGACTTGCTCTACCTCAGGTACGACACACAATTACGCCTGCTCTGTATGGCAAGAAGTGTAATAAACCGTTGTGGAAGGACAGGTACTGCATCCAGTTAAAAACTCATCAGCATGAAGCTAACTGACATAAATTCCTGGATGCAGTCTGAGCCATCACTGTGAGCTTATGCCAGGTCATCACTCTGCTGCAGTGCTTTTGATCTAAACTTAGAAGTTGTAAAAGTGACTTTAGTTACAGTCAGTATGTCTTCCAACATTCATTTATAAAACCAAAAAAAAGATTTAACTAATCTTAGGTATTTTGTGGAAGAAACAAAAATGCTGTGAGATGCTTTAATATTTTGAAGACATAAGCATAAAGTCATGTACGTAAATAGCACCATCATACAAAAGTTACTGTATCATTGAAAAAAATGTGCTGCACTACCACTTGCAGCTGTAGATTTTCTGCAGTTACTCTGTACACTCATACAATGTAAGCAGCATGGGGCTTTAGCATGCAGTTCAGAGCAGGACAATCTACTGAAATTAGAACTACTAAAAGTTAGATCATAAGGAGCCCTCTACCATAGCTGGTGGCAACACATACCAGGCTGTTTTGTACACTGGGGTAGGATACCACAGTAAGGTCCCAGGGCACTTAGCTACCACCCTAGCCCCCTGCAGAGTGAGGAGAAGAACATGGACATTGTCAGTTTGCCATTTACTGACAGTTTCCTTAAATATTAGGTCTACTCCAAAAGTAATGTCTCGTAATTTATCATATTAGCCTAGAGGTGGATGTTAGTGTGATGGCAGTAAGGGTTGAACCTTCCCATCAACACTTTGTTACATTTTATTGCTATGTGACGGATGGCAGTGGAGGGCCAGTCTGACAGAATGGCATCTGACATGGAAGCATGTATGAAGCAAAGGTGAGAATGCAGTAAAAAAATGGCGTGCACTGACATTTATTGACATCTGCTGAATGTTTATGGAGACCAAACAGGGGATGTGAGCACAGTGAGGAGGTGTATTTCAGCAGTGGTGACAGCAACAGTGCATCACCTTCACTGGAGTAGATTTTTATGAGTGTGGCATGCAGGCTCTTGTTCACTGCATGTGAAAATTTAGAGCTAATGTTGAAAAACAAGTGTTCTATAGCTGCTAATTTGCTCTATCAAACAGTGTTATCTTGCTCTGTATCTGTTGTCATTTCCATAGAAATAACAACAAGGCATTACTTTCAGAGCAACCTACATAATATAGCAATGTGATTGGATGGATCCATGTAGGTGGAGAAGAACATTCTATGCACTAAGCATAAATAAGGAATAGAGTCACTCTTACTTTACAATGTTGCTCATTTGTTTGTTCTTTTCAGGAAGAAGAGTTAGGAGTTGTGTCTGCTCTTGGTTTTTGGGTTTGGGACTGTTAACTGTTCCCCACATACAACCACCGTCTTTAGACGGAACTTAATTTGAAACAGTCCACCTTAAAGCCTGAAAAGAAATTTTGAGATTGTATTGCATTGGATTATTCACCCTTAATCTTCCAAATACTCCTATGACCACAGGCTTGTCAGTGCTGCAGATTCTGAATACATTAAGAAAGTGTCATTCACTCCAAAGATTTAGAGCTGAGCCAGATGGCACATCTGACTGCTCTGCCTAAGCTACGGGATTACTGGTGTGAAAAGCAGAAAGCGAAGTGTCAGAAGATGAGACTACAAGAGGGCTCTCTTGCTGCAGTTACCTAGAGAAGCCATTGTTAGCTAGGCAGTGTGACTACTGCACATTGATTTGAGTAAACATACAGCGTAATTGTTGTTATCACTTGTTATGAAAAACACAGCTGATAAAAAACTGGGTGCAGACAGGATCTTGAACAAAATGGAAGTAGCACCTTGAAATGGTGTTACGATTCCTCTGCTTCAATATGCATGCACATACAATAGTTCCTTCTGCAGTAGGAATTCAACATGCATGAGTCAGCCTATCCGATACCAGTAATTGCAGCTATAAATGCACGGCTATTATGCATTCAGCTTGTGTAGCTTGGGAGTAGTCTACTCTATGAGGAATAAAACGGTCCTGAGCAGATGGTAGGGCTTTGCTGCCTTCCTTGAGGCAGGCAGGGAGTCCAGCAGCATAGCCTTGGCCGTGCGGCCCTTCCACCTTGCTCTGAGAAGAGCCCAGACTCCTGCCAGTTAGAGGTGCTTCCCTGAAGGCAGCGGTGCCAGGATGTGGTCTTCCCAGCTCTGCTGCCTGCATGTTTGTTCTCCCAGCTTCCTTCTCGCATTTTTTACTCTGCCCGGATTTACAGCCCAACTGGCCATCCCCACACATGTCTCCCAGACCTGTGGAACATCAGCACTGCAAGTACTCGATGTTGTGGGACTAACACCCTGCAGTCTGGTGCTCAATAGGAGTTCTGCCTTGAGTTTTCCTGGGTGGTCCCTCTCAGGGCAAACACGTGGGCCTGCCCAAAAGCAGCGCTGCCCGCAAAGCACAATTCAGGACGTGGATACGATCAGAGAAGGAACAAACGCGCGCAGCCTCGCCGAAGCGCCGGCACGACAGCGAGCACGAGCAGGCCCGCGGTGCTTTCGGCCGCCTCTCGCACCAAGGCAACACGCGGCCCCACCAAACCCCCGACTCCCCCAGGCCGCTCCCGCAAACGCAGCGCGACAGAGGCGGGGCGGAGCGGGGCGGGGCGGGGCGGGGCGGGGTGGGGAGGAGACACCGCCCGCCCCCGCCGCGCACCGGGCGGCCCACGCCGCCCCGGCCCGGCGGCGAGCGGGCGGGAAAAGCCGGCCCGCGGGCGGGGCCTGGGCCTCGACCCGCCGTGCCGCCCCGCACTGCCGCTACACACCGGAGCTGGAGGTGAGGGGACCGAGTGGCCGGGGGGCGGCAGCGGCGGCAGCAGCAGCGGCGCGGGGCCCAGTGCGGCCCCGACGGGCTGTGCTGGCGCAGCGGGGGCAGCCGGCGGGTGAGGCCTGGCAGGTTGGCCGGCTGGCCGGGGTCTGTGCGAGCGCGGGGCGGCCGCGGGTTGTTTCCTGATCCTTCGGGGAGCTGGAGGGGGTCTTGTCGCGGGGAATGAGGCGCGCGCTGCCTTGGCTGGTTGGTTGGCTGGTTGGTTGGTTTGTTTTTTTCTTTTTCTTCTTCTTTTTTTTTTTTTTTTTTTCTCTTTCTTCTTCTTCTTCTTCCAATTTCAGGGCTTTCTTGCTCATTCTGCTCCGCGGCGGGGAGGGCAGCCCCCAGCGGGGCGGGAGCTGCGGGCTGCCGGCTGCCGGCTGCGGGCTGCGGGTTGGGGCGGCCCCGGCGGGCGGCAGCGCTGCTCCGCTCCGGCTCCTGGCGCTGAATTCACCTGTCCGCCTGTTTATGTGTTAATTTCTGTCCGCGGAGGCGGCAGGTAGGCTGACACGAACTCTCAAGTTTCGTAATTGGGGGATTGTAGCTTTTATTTAAAACAAACAAAAGAAGCGAAAAGGAAAGAAAAAAAAAAATAAACCACCGAAAGCAAAAACGGGGCGTAAGAGAGCGGCGGTGGGTTGATCGGCGCACGCCGCAGGCGCTGTATTTTCCCGGATTAAACTCTGCGCTGCGGCTCAATGAGATTATTCACGTGCTGTAAGTTAAGCCTCAGGGAAGCCTCGCTGGGAGCCGCCGAGCGGTTCTGCGTTGTGTTGGAATGGGCTGAGACACTTCTGTTCAAGATGCCCATTTTTCTGAATCGTGCCCAGCAGCAGAAAGCTCTCTGAATGGTCAGCTCACCTTTTAGTACCATAAGGTGGCTCTTCTAAAATGGCAGTGTTTCCAGTGCCCTGCTTAGATGGTAAGGGCTTTTTTTCCCCTCCTTTTTAGTGCTACTTCTTTAAAACTGAGCTGGTGGGTAACATTGTGCTGTAGGAGAGCTCTGTGCAGGTGTTGTGTTAGCTCTCCCGAAGGAAATGTAGATAGACTTGTTTCGTGTTGCTTCTGAAAGGATATTGCTTCAGGTGAAGAAACAGTTCTTCTGGTTTGATAGAGAATTATGTATTTATGTAAATGTTTTGAGCTGTCATTTGAATAATGTCAGGTGGAGGAGTGCTCAGATCAAAAGGAAAAACACAAACTCTGCTTAAAGTGAACCTTCTATGAGAAGTGCTGGCAGTCAGGGAGTTAGCGAATGTTTACAGTAGCACTTTTTTTTTAAGTCTCCATGTAAATTCATAGGATATTTGTCCCATGGCTTATTATGGTTGAGATGCTTTTTCATAAAGTTATTTAAATGGTCTCTTAGATTTTTTGATCTTAGAAGCAGAGAGTACTTAGTCCTGCGAATGGCTGTTACAGTTGCTATTCTGACTCTCCCTGCTCTTAGAAAAGGAAAAATACTTTTTTATTTTGTAACATCACTCTTTTCTGCTCAGTTTCCCCCATCCTTAATGTATTTTTTTTGTCTCTTGGCTATCTCAAAATTGATTCACAAAAGAATTGAACACGCATACTCAAATCTGTTCCTTTTTTAAAGGTCGGTTTCTAATAATTAGTATATCTAAGAAAAAGTAAAGCCCACATGTATAAATGGTGCTCTTTCTCTGCTCTTCTTATTTAATGCATTTAATCCCTCTTTCCTGGATTCTTCCCTTCCCCCACTTAGATAAAGCTCAGAGTGGAAAATTTGTTCTAAGTTTAGGAATTGATCCTGAACCATTAAAATTGGGGAGTTTTCTTTCCCTGGATTCAGCTGCTAGTGTAGGGCTGTGTATAATCCTTAGTCACACATTTAGGTCTTCCTGCTATCTGAGAACTGAACCACAGTGCTTGAAAATAAGCATGTGTTGACCTTGTTTGCTGTAACAGTGTTTGTGTGCTTTTGGAGTGGTCTTGGTTGTTTTTTCTTTCTGTTTATTATCGAGTCTCTAGGCAGCAGAGGAATTTTACTTCTGGCATCAGCAGAATAGGCTACAAACTATAAAAAAGCTTTCTTTGCAGCTTGCGTAATGTAGTCCAGGTAGTGCTAGAAATGTCCTCATTGATTCTTGTAGCTTCATGTGTGCAGCGTCTGTTCTGTACGTTTATCATCTGTGTAACCAAGGCATGACAAGTGTTTTGGCATTCTCAGCTGCTACAGGACAGAAGCTGGCAACAGCCTTTCTTTAGGACTCAGACAAGTTGCTTGTAAGGTGCTGCCTCCTCTCCATCCCTATTTTGTGTTGGATTTTGAAGGGAGCTACAAGCAGTACAGTGTCTGTGCAAGTTTCAGCGCCCCGCTGGACATGGTAGTGTGCTGCTATTAGAGTATTAGTCTTATGCAGTGGTTGCAACTGGTTGTCATTCCAGAGTGAGCCTTTGATTATTGCTGGTGGTTATGTGGTGCTATAGCTGAAACTTATAGATAGCAAAAGCCAAAAAGCAAACTTCTCTAATTGGTATAAATAAAATGCGTAGAAGCATATACATGAACGTTACTACACATATCAAAACACTCAAAACCCTACGCTGTTCTGAACAAAGCAGCAGAATTTGTACAAGTTAAGTGCAGTGAAAGGCTATTCTGAAGTCTTAGTGACAATGCAAGGCAGCAGTTGGGAAGAAGATGCGCAAACCTTCCCTGCCATCTGGCATTAGGTTCAGCTCAGCTGCTCATCATTGCTCTGTAGGTGTAACTTGTGTTTGAGTCCCTCTTGTACTATACTTGCTTACTGTGAGCCCACACCACTGATACTGTGAATTTTATTTTCCCTAAATAGATCAAGTGTCTGATTTGTCATCGCAGATTCCCGCTGTGGTTATGAGGTCATGCATCTTGTCTTACTCTTCATGTTTGTACAATCCAGAAAGAGCTTTTACTCCTTCTTTGGGACAAGAAATTTCAAGTCCTTTCTCCATGAGCTGGAAATCCCATCTTTTACCTTCCCTCTCCACTCTCCAGTTGTGATCTAAAAAACATATATGATCACGTTGAGAGGTACAACATCTACCATTTTACTGCTCTCTCTTCCTTGCTGCAGAGCTGTTTTATTTTTGATTGGCAAAGTAGGGAGAAGCTGAAGGTGTTGCACATGCATTGTATATTTTCACCACTCTGCCAGCTCCCTGTGTCTGTCATCCTTTGATCAGATTCGATGTCATCTGTGTAACTGTGGTATTTGATTGGGATTTGCTGTGGTCAGCAATACACCATTGAAAATGTCTCTTTGAAGCTGAGGGACATCTGCATTACAAGCATGAGTACTAGGGATCTAGCATTGGGTTCCACTTAACTCCTTTTGTCTCTGCACAAACATACTGTTTTGCAGTTTTCTGACAAACAAAAATTTAAAGGCCTAGCTTAGTGTCTTTTGTATGGAGTTGCTAGTTTATAATCAGAATTATATTAAGTGTAGTGAGCACAAATATGAAGATGGTTTGATTTTGTAAATAGTTAAAAAATTGAATACCATTTAGCTTTAGAAATATTGCTGTAATTTACAAATGGCTTCGTTCTTTGAACTGGAGAATAATACTGGTATTTAAGTTTGAAGCTCGATGTGCAATAATGGGATGTTGCCTTCAGCACTGAAGTTGACAAAAAAATACTGCAACTGTTGTGCACTTTTTTGGCTGTGGTTGCAAAACAGTTGGTGAGGCTTAGTGGAAATATGTGATTGCTGAACTGATCTGGATTAATTAAAAGATACTGGTGTGGAGGGAAGCTGTTTTTCAGCTAATTCTTCAGCAGGTGATGTGCTGGTACAGCCATTTGCAGGGCTGCACTCTGGCACCAAGGGGCTCTGCAAATAGCGATGGAGAAGTGGCTGAGAAGCAGTGTTAGATGGTAGAAACTTGTCTGCTTCATTCCATCTTGAGAGAACCATATTTAAGATTGCTGTCAGGATTCGTACTTAAGAGGAGGAAATATGCTTGGTTGCAACAGCTGCTGCCCACACCATGTCTCCAGCCTGCATTGGTCTGGATATTGCTTTGTGGCCAGAAGCCATAGGTGATGAAACCTCAGGGCTGGTCTGTGTCTGCAGAGTGTAAATGGGACAAATTCTCCTTGAACTGTTCTCTGCTCAGAACTTTCTGTCACGTTCTATCTGGGAAAGTCATTTGTTTTATTCTCCTGCCGAGTTTGTTTTCACGAGATGTTCTTGGACAGAGTACCCGTGCAAGTCAGCTAGATGCCAATGAAGTGAGAGCTTAATTGCATGTGTCTATCAGTCTTCTGGTCACAGCACAGCTAATACCAGATGTGGTGGGAGCTCCTGCCCTGTGCTGGGCTCTGTCCTGTACCACTGTGCTGCTACTGACTGGGTCCCAGCTCTAGAATGCTGCTTCTGCTCAGATATGTGAACTCATGAGAAGTTCCTTGCTATTAGCCACGGCCATGAAAGCCAGTGTGAGTTCTTGGCTTCTCTACAGACTCTTTTTTTTCCCCCTAATTAAAGATGTGGGTGTGTGTTTGTTTGTAGATAATAAGGATTAACTACATGAGATACAATGTCTCAAACTGTGGTTTGATAATTAGAATCATAAGTAGAACCCTTAGAGTTGGAAGGGACCCTTAAAGGCCATCTAGTCCCACTCCCCTACAGTGAACAGGGATACTTACAGCTAGATCAGGTTGCACAGCACCTTATCCAGCCTGGCCTTGAAGGTCTTCAGAGATGGGGCATTAACCACATCTCTAGGCGAGCAGTTTCAGTGCCTCACTTCCCTCACTGTAAAAATCTTTTTTCTTATATCCAACCTGAATCTACCCTCTTTAAGCTTGAAGCCATTTCCCCTTGTTCTGTCACCACGGACCCTGCTAAAGAGTCTGTCCCCTTCTTTCCTGTAGCTCCCCTTGAGATATTGAAAGGTCACAATTACTGATGAGTTTTAGGGCAACAACAGAGCTGCAAGTTGCATGTTGT